TCACTGACTGGCTGCCTCCTGCACGCCCCGCCCCCCCCCCCACACACACACACACTCCCACTGGGGATCGAACCTACAACCCAGGCATGTGTCCTTGACCAGAATTGAACCCAGAACCCTTCAGTCCGCAGGCCGACACTCTATCCACTGAGTCACGCCAGCGAGGGCCTGAGTTGTGAGTTTTAAAGGTGAAAGGGGGAAGGCAGAGGATACCGCATAGGCAAGGTCTTGAAGTGGAAGCTGGGTAAGGCCGACGTGGAAGAAGATATGGATGTCCGGAGCCTCAAAAAGGGAAGGGAGGGAGGGCTTTCTGCTGGGAGGTGTCTCTGGACAAGTCAACAAACTGTGATACCTGTGTGCCCAAGGGAGTAAGGATTTTGTTTGCGGCTTAGGACAGAACCTGGTGCACAGCAGGTTCTCTAGAAATATTTACTGAATGAAAAAAACCAACGAGCTTCCATAGTGTGATCAAAGGCATGGCCACCACTAGGTGGCAGCATACTCCAACTACAGGGACTTAGAAAGTAAACTCTAAAGCAGACCCAAATTTATTCTCTGACGGACATTTTGGATTTGATGAGTTAAAAGGCTGCCTGGGCCTTCGGCCTTCCTGAGATCCCCTAAGCGTTCCTCCAAGGAAATTACACTCTGGTCATCCCCCGTCAGGACTGGCATGCAGTAGGCTGTGCTTTGGGGACAGATGGCCTAGGTCCTCCCAACTGTTTGCGGGTGAACCTCAATCACCTTATCTGTCCAATGGGATCATCATGGCTCAAAGAGTTGCTAAGACCCAGTGCTGACACACAGTAGGTGCTCAGGAAGGAAGAAAGAGAAGGCAAGCATCTCCCCAGGGCACCGGGTAGACTAACCCCCACGCCTAGCAGGACAAGCTGGGCTGCACCCACCTGCATGATGCAAGGCCGTCCACCCACTGCTGTCCACAATGTCCACCACGCAGGATGCCTGGGGAGGGGGAACAGGTCATTTGAGGAGCCAATCCTTGTTGTTTCTGGTTTCTATAGGAACTGCCCCTCCTTGGCTCTATTTCACTCTCCTTGCTTCACCCCCTCCTCCCCTCCCAGTTACCTGCTCGGTGGAGCCTGTCTTCTCATGGGCCTCTGAGTGACTCTTTGTTATTATAAAAGTTTGTGAGAAAAAGGGAATAGCTAGGATCTCAGATGCAGCTGGGGGTTTGGGGAGTGGATGGGAGCTCTAAGAGTACTGGTGGCCAAGAAAGTACCTAAGGTTTGGGAGAAACTGGGGCTCAGGAAATATCTGATATTGGGAATGTATCTTGTAGGAAGTATCTGGACACTCAGGGAGTATCCAGTTATCGAAGGAGTAGCTCAGGAGTAAAAGAGGCCGAGGAATATCTAGGATTCAGGGAATATATGGGGGTTCAGGGAATTGCTGTAACTCAGGAATAATCAGGGCATGGGAGTATCTGGGAGTTCAGGGAGTATCTGAGATAAGAAAGGAAATGACCTGGAGCAGTTGCTTCAAACACTGTGGATGCCCATACTTGGCAGCCAGGTGGAGGGCATTGTAACCTGAAAGGAAGAGAGGATTTACTAGGGCTCCAGATACTCAAGAAGCTCTGACTGCTCCCCAAACTGTGTCAAGTATTTGTGATGACTCAGTTCCCCTGTATCTAGCAAGTCCCCAAACCCAGGTATTTCTCAAAACCATGCTACTCCCTGTGGTCAGACTCTCCAAGCCTAACTAGTCTATGTCCCAGACAATCTCATCTTAGTTACACTCCACACCCACCCACTCCTCAAGCCCTACTGCCCCAGCTACTTCCCATATCCCTAGCCACTCTACATGCTCAGCTACAGTGAAGTACCATCTATGCCCCTCAGAATCCACAGTTGTTCTGTATGTCCCAGCTAATCCATCTACCCTTGCTATCACATGTGCCAGCTATGTCCCTGTCAAGATACTCTACAAATCCGCAGTTACTCTACATATCCTGGCACAATGCCTGTTGCTGGAAGCTTCAGACATGACTATGCTCCATGCCTAGTTACTCCCTGAGCCCCAACTACTCCTTTTGGCTGTGAAGTATACCTCAGTTTTCCCCTCAGGTCCCTAGTTAAGTCATAAACTAAGAATTTCCTTTTGTTCCAGCTATTCCCAGAGCTCCAGCTACCTATAAACCCCAGCTACTCCACACACTCAGATACTCCCTCCAAATTTACTTACTATTCTCGTGCCCTCAGCTACATCTCAAGCTCATATGCTCCTCTGTCCCAACTACTTCCTCTGATTCAACCACTACCTGAGTCCCAGCTACTCCTCATCTACAAGTTAACTCACCTTGCTTGATGATAGCCATGGTCCCTGTCCTTGGGCACTGGTAGCCTGGAATGCCCCCGTGACTCCCTGTGGACACTAAAGGGAACCCCTCCCCCCTTTTCAGCAAGACACTAAGGACATGAGGCAGGGCCGGGCTGGACCCCCAAGCGGGGCACCTGGTCTGAGTTCCTCCTCCCTCCCCTGGGGCCTGGTGCGCAGTACCTGCCCCGTCTGTGCTCATGACGTTGGCGCCGTGTGCCAGCATCACCTCCAGACAGCTGGCTGCACCCCTCATAGCTGCCAGGTGGAATCTGGAGGTCAGAGGTGAGGGGTAAGCAGCAGGGTGGCCACCCCTCTGCCATCATAGCCCCGCCCCGGGCATGGGCACTCACGCGGACTTGCCCTCAGGGTCCAGCTTCGTGGGCACCAGACCCTTGCGCACGATGAGGGAGGCCACCCGGGCGGCATCATTGCTCTCCACAGCCTGCAGCAGCCGCTCATCACTTTTGCCCCAGTCCTGGCTCTGTGGGGCACACCCAGAGGATGATGGGGCTGGGCAGCCACTGCCCCCTCCACCCCCCTCCCCCGGGCAGGGGCTCTGGGCTCTCACCACCCGCCCCTGGGCACTTGCCTGGCGTCTGACCCTGGATGCTGGCTTCGGGATGGGACAGGGACCACAGGGTGGGCAGGAGCCAAGGTCGGTGGGGCTGAGCCGCAGCTGTGGGGGGAGGTGGTCTCGGTGGGAGTCTGAGAAAGGGTCCTCCAAGCCTGTGCCTCCCAGCACCTGCCCCTAGGCTCATCGCCCCAACGGTTCATCCAATACCCAGTGCCAGCACCCCCCCATTAAGCCATCCCAGATAAGCCCCCAGCATCTTTCCCCAAATTGCCCCCCATGCCCGGACCCCAGTCTGTCCCTTAGTGAGCAGCCATCTTCCCAACATCACCCTATCAAACTGATCCACACATCTTTCCAAACTACCCTCAGAAGTCCTCCCATAGGAACCCCTAAAATGGCCCTTTAAATGTCCCTCATAACCATCCTTTGCCATTTATCCTTCTACCACTACCCCTGAAATACCACAATTGTCACCCAAATGTCCTCCAAGATCTGTTCCCCAAAACCATAGCCTGAAATGCATTCCAAAATGTCTCCCCAAAGTTTTTGATGTGTTTTCCAAAACTGTCCCCCCAAATGACCCCATCATCTGTCCCAAAAATGTCCTCCACAAAATCTCTCAAATGTCCTCTGAAATTGTTCCTCAAATGCCAATCTTTTTCCAAAAATGGTCCCCCAAAATAGCATCCAAATGATCTCCCCAAATGACCCCATCCGAAAATGTTCTCTGAAACTGTCCCTTCAAATGCCCTCTCAATTATCCTGTGTTCCTGTCTGTCCTCAAAGTCCCCATCTGTCTCCCCAAAAGCCTCATCCATCCCCCACCTCTGCCCCATCCCAGCTCATCCTCCCCCGGTCTGGGCGTGGGGGGTCTAGGCCCCTGTGTGATCAGGCCCCCATGGTCAGGGGGTGGGGAGGGGCGGGCAGGGGGGAGAGTTAGGACCCCGGTCCCTGGCTCCAGGCCCCTCCCCCGGCCTACCGCAGAGGAGGTGGCGGCGCACAGACACAGCTGCTTCATGGCATCCTCGCCCTCGGCCAGAGGGGCCGGAGGGAGGGGCAGGCACAGCCAGAGCTCCGTGATCTGGCCCAGTGGTGGTGCCAAACCCAGCACCGCCCCTTCCTCCCCCCCTTACCCGCTTGCTTGCCCTTCTCCTGGTGTCCTCTCTCTC